AGAGACATATGAGAAAATGCTCAACATTGCTAGTCATTAGAAAGATGCAAATTAAAACCACAATGAGGTATCACTTCACACCTGTAAGAATGGCTACCATCAACAAATCAACAAACAACGTGTGCTGGCAAGGATGTGGAGAAAGGGGACCCCAGTACACTGCTGGTGGGAATGCAGACTGGTGCAAACACTATGGAAAACAGTATGGAGGTTCCTCAAAAAATTAAAAATGGACCTGCCTTTTGACCCAGTGATCCCACTTCTAGGAATATATCCTAAGAATCCTGAAACACTAATCGGAAAGAATATATGCACCCCTATGTACATAGTAAGGCAGTTTACAATAGCTAAGATCTGGAAACAACCCAGGTGCCCATCAGTAGATGAATGGATAAAAATGCTGTGGGAAATTTACACCATGGAATCCTATGCAGCTGTAATGAAGAAGCATCTCATATCCTTTGGAACAGTATGGATGGACCTGGGGAATATTATGCTAAGTGAAATAAGCCAGGCAGAGAAAGACAAACATCACATGATTTCACTTATATGTGGAATCTAAAGAACTTAATAAAATGAACAGAATAGATTCAATGACATGGAAGCATAGATGAAACTGATGAATGTCAGAGGGATGGAGGAGGGCAGGTGGTTCAAGGGGGAGAGATTAATCAAAGAATTTAATGTGCATATATGCACAACCCAAGAACAAGGACAATGGTGGGGAGAAGGACTGGAGAGAGGGATGGGACAGGGTGGGATGGGTCACTGGGGAGAAAAAGGGACACTTGTAATATTTAAAAAAAAAAAAAAAAAAAAGATTGCCCAGAAAAAAAATAAAATAGACTTACAAGTCCAGGAAAAACAGAGAGTGTCAAATCATAGGAACCCAAGAGGCCCACAGCAAGACACATCATAATTAAAATGCCAAAGGTTAAAGACAAGAGAGAATCTTAAAAGCAGCAAGAGAAAGGCAGTTAGTTACCTACAAGGGAGCACCCATATGATTGTCAGCTGATTTCTCAACAGAAACTTTGAAGGCCACAAGGGAATGGCAAGAAATATTCAAAGTTATGAAAAGCAACAACCTACAACCAAGATGACTCTACCCAACAAAGCTATCATTTAGAATCGAAGGTCAGATAAAGAGCTTCTCAGACAAGGAAAAGCTAAAGGAGTTTATCACCACCAGACCAGCACTACATGAAATGTTGAAGGGTCTTCTTTAAGAAGAAGCTAATGAACAGAAGAATCTGACAAATGAAATAGATGCAGAGGCATTGACACATGTAACAGATGATCATACTTCAGAGGGAAGAGGTAAGGGGGCTGGACGGTGGGAGGAGATTAACCGAAGAAGTTATATGTATATATACATAACCCATGGACACAGACAATGACAGGGTGAAGGCCTGGGGAGGGGGTGGGAGGGAGGTGGAGGGGTCATTTGGGGGAAAAAATGGGACACCTGTAGTGCTTTCAACAAGAAAGATAAATTTAAAACATAAAATTAAAAAATAAATAGATAAAAAAATAAAAATATGAAATAGAATATATCCCATGTCTTAAGGATCACTATTGTTTTACAAAACTTGTTTTCATTTTATACATACCTACTTTTACACACACACACACGCACACACACACACACACACACGTATATGTATTTAAGTTTGTTTTACTAGGGGCTGGGAAAAGAATAACTCTCAAAGCATTGTTCTATAGTCTAGCTGTGTGACCTTGAAAAAATCACTTCCCCTGTCCAGTCCTCATTTAAAAAAAAAATCATCTTTTCTGTTGAAAGTACTACAAATGTCCCTCTTGTCCTCCCATTGATCCCCTCCACTCTGAAGCCCTCCTCCTAGGTCTTAACCACAGTATTGTCTGTGTCCATGGGTTATGCATATATGCATATAAGTTCTTAGGTTAATCTCACCCCACTCACCC